GAGCAATGCCTTAACTCCTACACCAAACTGGCTCTCTCTGGTAGCCACCAGAGGGCAGCAAAGATGGAGGTATCTGTATCCCTTGACTGTCTTCTATTGGTTGCCTGTAATATGGTTGCCGAGGCCTGGTAGCCCCACCCCACTGAGTCTGGTCAGAGCAGTTTCTCAGGTTTGGCGACTTTAAGATGTGTGGACTTCAACTCCCAGAATTCCAGGGGCATTTCTAGGTAGGGATCGTTTTGCATGCTGGAAGTCCTGCTTTCCATTCTGGAACTTAATTCCTGCCTCCTACTTCTCAAATGCCCATTATTAAGATCTCAGGTTGTATTATAATTGCTCAGAGTTTGCCTGAAGAATCCCCTTGCAGTAACGTGAACCAGAAAGTAAAAAGAGCTTAAAACTCCCCTCTCTCCCTCTTCCTTGCAGGAGCAAGATTGGGAAAATCTCCAATCATGGTTTGATGTATTTGTTTTTTCATCTCCCAACTTTAAGAAGCAGCAAAGACCTGTACTGTGAGGGTTAATGCTCTTCTGTTTTGCTTATCGCCTGCGGGAAGAAATCCACTTTACGGTCATGCTCCCTCTTCCTTCCGCCAAGTACAAAAGTCGCAAAGAGTGAATCATCCGATCCGAAAGCAACTCTGAAATGAAAAGCGAAAGCTGAGAGGGACCGAGGGCTTCAGAGGAGGAAGGAGAATTGAGGAAGGGCTCAAAATGAGCAAGGCAGATCCAAGCGGGCAGGAGAGAATCCTGCAGCAGTTCCATGCAGACAGAGTTTTCCTTTCGGGGAACAAGGAATGGCTCGTGCAGAAGAACTTCTTTGTCGTGAAAAGCATGGTGGAGAAAATGGTGAAATGGGCCTATGAATCCAGCAGTGGGTTATACCCCTTGGACCCCATCCCCGTGGGCAGCTACAAGGAAGGGTTGCACCTTCAAGTGGAGGGCACGTCCAACGATTTTGACTTCCTCATCCCGGTACGGTATAACTCCAAGTTGGTGCTCAGGAGCAGATGCGTCCCCAAGGAGTCCCCCAGCAGTCCCACCCACAAGCTGCCCACCTACATCTTTCGCCACAAAGGATTCCGTGATGATCCTGACAAAGGGCTGCCGGTCTTTCGCCAGGGCACCAAAGTGTTGGTAGACGTTGAGGATGTGGCCGAGACAGATGTGGACATCTATTGTGATAAGCCCAAATCGCAATTGGAGGAAGAGGAGGAGGATGACATTGAGTATGGTAAATTGGAAATGTGCCAGGTAGGTGTCAACATAATGGCCAGAAGCAGTGTTTCTCAACCTTGGTGACTTTAAGACGTGTGGACTTCAACTCCCAGAATTCCCC